GTGTCACTGGTGTGTCCGATTTGGAAACGACAACCAAACGTTTCAGTGATGCCTTTTGAGCAAGATTCGTTTTAAATTTTCATGGAAAGAGCGAGCTCGGTTATAACTGTGAAATGTAGACACCAATTACTGCAGAAACTCGAACGTTCCGCGACATTAACAGAAAGTTGATAAGTGTGTCCTTCTTAGCATATGCGCTAAAATACTAAATTACTTCACGACTCTTCCAAAGGGAACAATTAACTCGCTTCATTCGACTAGTTATGTGATTTGTTCATTTGTCATTGAATAACATTTTCTCATTTGCTAAGTATTTTTATTGACTATATGACAACGAAAGATTTGACCATTGCATGCAAAATTGATTCATTTTATGGTGGACAAAAAACAAACAACAACGTCTTGTTCACGAACAATCCATTTTACAGGTCTTAGTGTGGATTTGGTATCGTGCCTTCAACTGAAATATGTTGCGTTGTCAGTAGTTCGAGACAAGGATAGACATAGTCTCGATATTATTAACATTTCTGTAGGGACATGCACTTACACGTCATGTCGAGTGAAGGTATCAGACCCCAATATTGCTTGCCAAAGATACTCAAATGACTATGTGAATAAGGGCATGCTTACTTAAATCTTCGCTATTATTGGGAACAAAATTTCAAAGAACATGCTTAAAATCTCATGTGAAAAAAGGATATTGTTTTATCACCTTTATGCAACAAATTATAATCGTGCCATAATCAAATGTCTCAAACTCAAAGATTTCCGTTTTTGGTACGAGAAGCTCCTTGCTACCATAAACCAACGATACTAGGGCGCATGTTTAAAACAGACAACATCAACGCAGGCTAATTAACTAGTTGAAAACGTCTATTGTAACATCGGGGAATAACGAAGAGAAGCTTTCGTGCCGGCTTGATTAAAAGTGGACATCAACCACTCGGGTAGACAATACGCCTGGCTTCAAGATTAAGAAGGCTAACTTAAGAATTCTTTGATCTATAATCATCCTCTCTCACGCTTAAAACATCTTTGTCTGCCTGTACAAACACATTTAATCTACGCCAAAATGGCCGTTTCGCGTTTGCTGCTTCGTGATTCCAATGAAATAAACCTATATAACTAAATTCGATGGATCTTATTATGAATACGCAGTACTATGTATGTGATTTATCTTACCAGGCCGCCAGTTCTGATGGGTGTTCAGAGGCGGATAAGCACAGTTTAATCTGAGTTCGTGTAGACAGATCGACTTTGTTTCAATTATAGATGAAATTAACGATCCGCGTGACCTTTCCTAGACACATAACAGAGTTATGTTTGTTTAATAAGATGCTATTTAATAGAGTTAAACATGAAATCGGAATATCGTGACGTACAAATATAACTGCTTGCAAAAGAACGTTATTTCTTTCACGTATCCCTTTCAGACATCTGACGAAACGTTATTAATATTCTCCGAGTACGATAACTAACAGTAACTTCACAGATGTACGTTTATTGACAAACTTGTTGGACAAACAAGGAATTGACCGTTTGTTTCATTTTTTATTGTAGATATTTCCATCGACTGAACAATATCACATACTCACGAACATGGTATGTAAATGTAGTCTTTTTTTCAAAGTAAAGGTGCGGTAAAAATTCAAATCAGCGTTTAAATGAAATGGTTACTGATAATTATATGTAGTTGACGCGTTTATACTTGCATGTGTATTCTCTTGGGGGTTGGCTATGAATTTAAATCCACATAATTAATACATTATATTACATATTTTATATATATTGAATCCCTCCCTCTCATGAAGAGAAACATAATGAGAAACATTGATTTATATGTACGTGTGTGCATAACAAAAAGCATGACCATTTTGTGTCTGGATAAATGATAAATTAATAAATTAACATCCTCCCCTCTCTCCCTCTTCTTTTACTGCAGTCCAAAACCATCCCAATGTGCTGTTCTTGTAACGTTTTGTTTTATGATCTTCAAACGTTATTTTATGCACATTTATGAAACTGATATTTTTTATTACCCCACTATCTCACTATGATGTTAAATCAGTTGAAGTTAGCTAGCTGTGGTGTTAGTGACAATACCCTTCTTAAAGGTTTGCATGTCATCTTTATTGAGTAATTGAGACAATTATAAACGCTCCTAGCCTTCACTCAGATCATGTATTCTGAAAATGGCAAGATGTGAAAGCTGTCATGAAACGAGACGCCCTGGCTGTCAAAGATTAGTCACGTCTCTGAAGTTTAACACTTAAAGATCAATATTAGATTTAACAGCAAGGGGCCTGTTACGTAATGAAAGGTTCTGTCATCTTTGTCATTGGCCAAAAACGAAAGCCCAGGAAGTTTGGTAACATTCGGTCACACATCTTAACTGTGGACGTGTTCGTCGAGTCATCCATTACGACCTCTCTCTTGAAGAAGACGTTCACTTGGTGACAACGTTTCTGTATAATGAGCAGCCCCTAACCCGGTGTGAATTGATCACTATTCTAATAGGCCGTGATCCCATGGGGACTGCTAATCTACCCCGGTCTGACGGGAGATGAACCATTAGAAATTGAATTCATTATACACATGTAATTTATGACTTGCACTCATTTGTATTGCTTAGAAGGGATTATTGTGTACATTACTGAAGTAACTCTCGGGGTCGACGTGACCATGCTAAAAGGGGTCATTGTGACCTGGGACTTAATTATCATCTAAAATCATAGTCGTAATGCCTTTTCTGAATGTGGTCAATGAAATGACAGAACAAATTAAGACGTATTCGATCAGAGATTTATTATCCCAGTGATATCAGCTGTGACTGTGGCAAATGAAGTGTTAATGCAATCAGTGGTGATTTGGTTATAATGCTATTCATGCTCGTGTTAACTCAAATTTGTAACAAATGTAATCTAGTCGGTTTGTGAAGTTATTGATAGTCTATATATAGGTGTAAACATTTCGTGTTTGCGTATTGCCTTCGTGAGAATATGTCTTGTGTTTCTTATAGTACACCTCTGCTGTTTGTTGAGTACATTGTCCTGGCAGTGGTTTCGGATACGAGAGATTGCCAGGGTCGCTTGCTCGTCTTAGTAGAAGACTAAAATGAGAATTGGTTGGTTGAATTATGTAACTAGTTCATCGTACCTTGATGGCTCGGGTCGTTGACAATGATGACAAACACCGGCATGCCTGGCTCAGTGTTATGTACTGGCTATACTTAGCTGGAATACGGTTGGCTGTTGTGCAACACTCACTCACTCAGGCACGTATACCACCCCCGTCAATTTATCCATTTCTCACTCTCTCGCTCACTCACGCACGCACGCACGCACTCACTTACGCACACATCTAACTCATTCACCCACCCACTCACTGTCTCAGCAAAAGCAATATACTTTGAGTCACCAACAGAAAAAGAACATATACTTCGAGGTTTATTCATTGTATGTAAATGCGGCGATCCACGGATGAACCCATATTGCCATGCCCACTCAGCAAGACATCAAATCATTGTAGCCACCCACTGTCATTACTTGGTTTTGTTTTCTGTTCTTCTTTGTCGTGTTTTCATGTACATTGTGTCCCTTTACTGATAACTCATCCATTGTCAGGGATGGTCCTCTACAGTCACTGGCTTGTTCTCCCACATGGACCACGATACCCCACCGTGGTTTGTTTGTTACACCATGTTTGTGACTGCTGTTGATACAGAGCAGAAATCTTAATCTCGTTCAACATCCGAGAATTGGTAACGTGGATACATCTAATGTCATCAAAGAGGAAGATGATGTGTATCGTTGCTTCTTCTTTATAGGCACACTGAGAAGCAATGCAGCTATGAGGACGGCCAGTAAATAATCAAGTCTGGACCTGACAATCCAGTGATAAAGAGCAATGCTTCATGTTGTCCTGGTTTGTTTTGTTTGTTTGTCAGTTGTTTGAGGCTGCACTCAGTAATACTCCAGCTATATGGCGGAAGTCTGTAAATAATCGAGTTTGGACCAGACCATCCAGTGATCAACAGCATGAGCATCGATCTACGCAATTAGATCTAACCAAGTCAGCGAGCCTGACCACCCGATCCCGTTAGTCGCCACTTACGACAAGCATGGGTTTCTAAAGACCAATTCTAACCCCGATTTTCACGGGTCTGTTGTCCAGGTATCAAGACATGCAGTCAGGCATGTCACCAAGCCTGATCACTGTTTAATTTTGTCGCTAACTACGACAGGCATGGGTTACTCGGGACACGTTCTCAACCGTATCCCACAGAGGATCTGTATGTTGATACTCAGAAGAACCTCTTTCCCCGTTGAAAACCGAGACCGATTTCGGTCCCCGTAAAAGACCAGTTAAGCAATCCTTTAGAAAGGCATCTGAAGTAAATGAAACTCATTTCAGTCCATAAAGTATAACAATCAGCGCTAACGGGAGCTTTTTTTAGACGCCTCAAACGAGGTTGTAACGTTTTCAAATATCTATTACGATAACAGATGAAATTCGTGAAAAAGCTGATTTTGGTCGGCAAACGGATTTGCCGTAATCAAGCTTTCAAACTAACCGTAATCATCCCATCCAATATTTGTGATTGCAAATTCTGGCTCTCAAATGAATCGATCCCTTGGTTACAGTTTCCGTTTCTGAAATGGCGAAAAACAAAATACAAATAATTGAAGTTTCCTGCGAGACCGTTACGCATGTAGTGCTTGATCGTCATTGTGGTTGATGTCCCTCTCCTCAACCGGACAGGGCAATATCATACCGCCCACTGGAGATTCCACATCACGCCTCGATCACTGAATGAAAAAAATTGAAGCTGAAATCACAGCTTATGCTCACAAAGGCGAGATGACATTTGAGAAGTTACCATGACATCCCCGTCATGCCTGTTGTGTCTCTTTCCGAATCTTCATCCTAAAAACTACATGCGTGAGAATTTTGACATCGTGGAGAGCCACTGATGGAATTCTACAAAAAAGGAACTAGTCTTTTATATCCAAGATATGTTTATTCTCTATGTCCCCTCAACAAACATTGATTGTCATGACAATGTGTTGCTATGTACAGTGATATTTACACCATGTTTATACATCCACACAGTTTGGGCTTACAAACATTACAACAAAGAAGCCCATCTGCACCAATATCCTTGCACTTACAACATGATTCATGAACATATGAAACATTCAAAACAATATTGCAGTAGAACGAGAAGTACACTTTGAATTCCTCAAAACGAATAACATGATCATCGCATCGTTGTATACAGCTATTTCCAATATTTTTGATAAAGCTACATAGATGTTTGAGCTTTTAATCTTGAAAACTAAATTTGTACACGTATGACCTTTGTAACAAAGGAGATAAGACTTGGGGATGGGAGGCTTGGCGGCTGACGCAAACATTATGTACAATTACTGGTCAGCAGAGACGGTTTCAACGACAGCCTCCCTAAGATAGCACGGTTTGATCTGGCTGATGCGTTAGCATGCATAGTGTAAATAAAGGGATAAGCCCTAATCCCCTATCTCAATTGCCACATGGAAGTTTCAGTCCTTCATTCAAAATATACTTCATCGCTCCTTAAACTAATCAACATCTTCGATCTTCTAATCGATAACAATACAGACGTGACAATTTGTGTAGAACTATTGACAGGATCAATTATCTAGTCTGAACATCTGTAGGCGGTTCTGAATAATTAGCAATATTTCTATGCTATGGAACAATTTCAGTTAAAGTTGCTCTTATATTGGGCAAAATAGTGCCATATATTAAATATCAAGACTTTGTTATCTTTGAACTTGGTCGAGATCCGATTCTCCCAACGTCTTGTCATCAGTTGTGTTTGAGAATTAAAGAAATACTATTATTTACGATTCTCTAGCACTTCCTTTCAAAAGCAACATCAACCAAGGCAACATAAGTTTAACATCACCAATCTTCCCTACCTCCTGTACAAGTCGAGTTGTTTAAAGCAAGACCTTCCAACTTATACAAGTAGAATAAAAAAGCACAGTTTCCGGGGATTATTGCAGTACTTGACAATACTGAACACCACCGAGTGGGCTGCTGAACACAAAGGTGGAATAAATCAACATAGGAACGTTCACATTCTGTCATCGGAGACACATATTCATGAATATCCTTGAAACTGTTCAAGAAACGTAATCATTCCAAACACAAACATGTCCCGTAGTTTGCAGGCAAGAGTTGCTTGAAGGTCAGTTTAATACTGTGGATATTCTGGAATAAACCTGTTATTCAACAGTGCAATACAAAAGCACGTGCGTGCACCACTGACTGAAGGTATTGCATGTTTTACGTGCAGACATGACTCACACACTCGCACGTGCGCGCACAGAAAGACAATGGTGTACAATAAATTGTTTGGGATGATATCGGGGCACACATACACATACAAGTACCCTGTCATCTTAAGCGTCCTGCACTCATAACCAAACCTTGTTCAAAAGTTATCTGTAAGTGAGTTCTGGGGGACAGAAATAGTGTGGATGCAAGGCAGGAATCTGTCTCCTCTGTGACCCTTCTCTGTAGCTGTGTCTGCTGTCGTGGGAGGAGGTACCAGATCCTGGACGCCGTCGAGATCGCTGCCCTCCTCGAGCCTCCCTCCTCGACATACTGGAATCATCTATATCAAAGCTTTCCTGAGGGCTACCGTATGGAATGTCTCTCTCGTGACGACTATCATGGCGTCCGTCGTGTCGATGAAAGTGCCGGATTGGCAGAGTTGTCTGTGTTCCTCGGTCACTGTATATCCCATCGGAGCTGTACCCTTGCGAATTATAACCATGTTCCTGGCATTCGCAATACGCAGAAACGTCCCTAGAATGTCTGGACAGACGGTCATCACGGATAGAGTCCGAGTCTTCTATATACTCGTATATAGGAGATTTATCACTGTTGCTCTGGCTAGCAGTGGACGGCGTGTAATCTCCTTCCAGTTTGCGATAGTTTGTGAAGGTGTTGCTGACGGGAAGACCCATCTCTGGGCGCACCTGCCCATACGGACGTTCCCCTGGAGGTAAGGGAGGATACGGTTGCTGTAACTGGTCCCCATTCAAAACCCGGGTCTCCATTCTACTCCCACGGAGTGTTGTCTGAAAATAAACAAAGGGGGAATATAAAACCAGAACCAAAATATACTTTGACATATATTTGTGATGGAAAAATGCCCCACTTAATAATGATAAGAGCTTGGTCCAACTCTGCGGGCTCCCAAAGCACGAGATTGATCAAGCCGACATAATCGCAGCGACGTTCGTCATTCATCATTTTCGTTTAGAAAATTGACGATATTAATCAATCAATATGACAAAAATGGGATGCAAACATTGCTCTATTATGCCTTGAGATTCTCATTTTGGAACATGCTCCAGTAACCAAATTTACGAATCTTTCCCGCAGTAATTAGGTCCGAGTTTATAACCTTAGGATATTATAGTTATGAGGCAATATGAAACAGCCTTTCAAATGTTCATCTCAATAAACCTGTATGAAACCTTGATTTACAAATCCAAATCCCCCGCTGACTATAAATGTCAATAAATGATACGAGATGACAGTCGTGTGTTTACATTACTTCAATCAATCAAACTAGCATTGAACGTTTTATGGAAGATGTGGGCAAGTATCTAATCTGTTTACATTTCCTTCTTGAAGACATTGTACGGTTATTTTATTATGTGATTGCAAGGCTGGGGAAAAGATTATGACTGTCTTCAAGTAACAAAGAAAAGCTGTGAAGGAAATGATTCATTCAAGAATTTGCTTAATTAATTGATGGATGGACAATGAGACCTGCGATGAATCATTTAGCTGTGGGTTATCTGTCAATGGTAGCTTTGTCCCTTATCATAATTAACCATTTAAACGTCAAAGAAATTTGTATTGAACATGTACGGTTTGGGTTAGCGCAAATGAAGATTTGTTTATAGGGCATGTTATGTGAATGACAATGATGTGAGATTCTACTAAGGTGCGAGGAATCCAATAAAAGTTTAACCATTTGACATTCGAAGCTTTCAAGACGATAGAAATAATAGTTTACGCTCAGTAATGAATTCCCTGGTTGAGCCTTTTTCTACAAATACAGTCAATTTGGTCTTAATGGACCATGGGACATATTTTGTAACGTCAATCGGACTTGGTGAACATAAACAACATGGCCAACATTAATCTCCAGAGCAGCATACCAGAATTATTTACACATGAATACTTTTAAATGTTTACATTCTCATGTTTCAGCAACCTACGAACTAAATGAAGGCTGACAGCTAACTGTCAATATAGCGTTAGTGTTACTTCCTTTCACCAACACCCGGTGTTGTCACTAATTTACACCAATCCATTCACAAACTTTTCACAACTATACTCCCCATCAAAAGTTTAGACTCACTAATGTCAATGTAGCCTCTCACTTCAGTAAACTGATCTAAATTAGATTTTTCAAAATATTCTATACAGCTTAAGGGTACTGTTTACACATGAACTGATGTATTGTAAAACAAATTCGTAACGTTGAAAAGATTATTGTCATGAGTTCAATAAATGATGAAACTCAGTGAAAATTGGCGAATTCTTAACAAAACTTTACACCAATACGCAGCTGTTCACATGCACGATATTTGCACATGCTTTTCAGCAATTTGATGCATGATCCTCGTGCATTTTATCTGCATAAGGTTTGCAGTAGGTTCCCCCAAGTTAGTGAAAATTTGGAGAAATTCATCTTCGATGTAACTACATATATATACATAACATATAGTGAGTGCTTTAAGTGAGTCTAAACTTTTGATGGGTAGTATATTTTCCCCTTTACACCACACAAGACAGGATATTCATTTGCACTGACGTTTTATATTACATTTGCATATCATAAAAGAAGATCCTCTCTCAGTATAGCATAGTTAACAGTTTGTTACTGCTTGCAACTCCTGTTAAGCGAACCCTGATAGTACGGGCTCTGTTGGTCCGAAACACCCCTTATCGGACAGTAACTGTTTAAATAAACGACATTACAAGTGATTTGCAAACATAAACAATGTTTATAGTTCGATGTTACCGTGTGGAGGCCCTGACATATTTCTGGAAAATTGTAAGATTCGTAAGCCTTCTCAACATACCCTTATGTATTATGCACAACGCATACAAACGTAATGTTATTGACACGTCGCACTGGTGTGACCCGTATGTCAAGATACTAATGCAAGAGCGCTTGGCACTTGTTATGTTAGTTCATAAGGGGTTAACAATGTCTTCTGTCTGATTAGCACCGAGGATCAAGTAATTAATAGGCTTGATCTCTTTTTCTCTTCCGAACAGACAACTTTTAAAACGTACTTTTTAAAACAGGGGCGTGAAATGTAAATCAGTAATCGATTTTAGCGTACGGCTTTGCCAAGGTCTCAGGCCATGTAGGGATAGTTATAAACCGATGCATTACCTCAGTAGGTGTCCTGTGGGTGTGGTTCAACGCCGCTCAGAACTGTATTTCAGTTAGATCATGGTGTTTTCGATTGATGTTGAAGAATAACCAAGTAAATTAAGTCTACAAGTTTGCCACTTTGGTGAAATCCACTAGACAGGCATGATTCGGTGATTTTTATCCACGATATGCATATCCTGACACGACAAGGGGATGTAACTCTACTGGGCATGCGAATCACCCACTACGAGTCAGACAGAAATTCACTACACTGTAGTCACAGTATAGTAGAAGCATTTCAACTTTGTCAGAATGAGGACCGATTTGTATACAGTGTGATGCTGTAATGTTTAAGAGGTCATTGCGCTTTTTCTCTTTTTCGTTTCCACGACATTATCGTTGTATTATCGTTGAATATCCCAAAAGATTTGGCAGTTTGGTAAAATTCCATTATTATATAAAGCATATGTATGCTGATTCACTGAGATGTCCTGTGAATACATGTCAGACCATGTTACAATTTTCCAGTCGGTTGACAAGTACTTCAGAGCTAACGATAACAAACAGCACAATTATTCTCTGTTACGTGCATTTTTAGTCGGTGACGAAGACCATGCACTTTGAGGAGTGTTAATATAATTGTTTACTGAAGAGCAGATTAGAATTTCAATATGACTGCAGAATATTTAATGTAAATTTCACGTTTTCTCGACATACAACAGCTCTTTGCCCATCGTTGTACAACGTTCAACTTATTCCTTCCACCGATACATAAGGCCACGGAAAATGGCTAGCACGAAACTTATTTGTAGTAGATATAACATATAACATCAACTGACAGAGCCAATCAGACAATGCGGTACTGGGCAAATAGCTCACCTCTACTTGTCGTGGCACAACGGGCGCCGAGGCGTAGTGACAACTCGTGTAATATCGGCTATCTCCGGGATTTAGCGCCGTCTGGTGGCTTGGACTTGAAGGAGACCGAGGTTTCTCTTTTTGTTTTCTGCAATAAACGAAACATTTTTGAAGATTATTCAAATTTCATTGCATCATCCTGATATATTCTTTTTTGACAGGGGTGGTGTGGTAGCCTAGTGGTTTGAGCGTTCGCTCGTCACGCTGAAGACCCGGGTTTGATTCCCCACATGGGTACAATGAGTGAAGCCCATTTCTGGTGTCCCCCGACGTGATATTGCTGGAATATTGCTAAAAGCGGCGTAAAACTAAACTCACTCACTCTTTTCTTGACAACAATTTCATAGTTATGAAACTATGTCATTTTGCAATATACATGTAGATCTTTGGTAGCCATCGTGATACTTGAAGAATTGAGGGCCTGAAGCAATACGTGAGCTCACCTTATCCATACGTGAGCTAACCTTATCAATACGTGAGCTCACCTTATCAATACGTGAGCTAACCTTATCAATACGTGAGCTCACCCTATCAATACGTGAGCTAACCTTATCAATACGTTGGCTCACCCTATCAATACGTGTGCTCACCTTATCAATACATGAGCTCACCTTATCACAGTGTTACTGTCTTATCTGCCTCTCCAACTTCTAAAAATGCTACTCAAAGAAGTTAGTGTTACTCCCATTGTACATACAGCAGCGAGTTACACCTACCGCTATACGTCTTCATCAAACGTACAGAATAAAACAATACATCATCGGTAGAAAACCAGCAGCGCTGGGAATTATCATTCGATGGCTACCTTCAAGTAATTTGGGATTTATAACAATGAATTCACGTCATAACGTTATATTAGTGAAGTAGATATATTTTACAATAAATGCTTTGATTCCCCCCTCTATCATGTGTGGGGAGGTAGGGTAGCCTAGTGGTTAAAGCGTTCGATCGTCACACCGAAGACCCGGGTTCGATTCCGCACATTGGTACAATGTGCAGCCCATTTCTGGTGTCCCCCGTTGTGATATTGCTGGAATATTGCTAAAAGCGGCGTAAAGCTTAAACTCACTCACTCACTCTTAACATGTGTGGTTGTTTCACCATGTAATTTTGTCTTTTCACAGTGGGCTTATCTGACAAACGTTACGTTTTCCGGGAATTCGAATTCAAACATCCGTTATTTCAAACTGAACGCACTGCTTTATTTCTGTATGATGTGCAATGACGAAAAACTCTTGAAACGTCACTCCCCTGTACTCAGTTTGAAATTAAACCCAATGAAACTTTCAACACGTCGCCCCTGCATGGCTAATTCTTTCACCACTCGACAGCACTTCAAAAGAGCTCCAGCGAATGTCAGAACATGACAGTATCTCATAAAGCTTAACCCCAGCATTACTGCAACATCCCGTCAAGATGCCACCGACTGCTGTAGTCTACAATTGGGCTTGAGTTCTTACTAACGAGGGAGAAGTGTAGGTGGGAACAGTTATTCCTCGTTAGAGGGCCGAACAGGTGATCATTAGGTCGCTAACGATGGTTTTTATCACACCAAGGATTCCGTGCTGTGAATTATCGCTAATTTAGACAGAGTGAGTACCAAATGCAGCTCATAAAGACGAGGAACCCTCAGAGCGAAACGGACGACAATTGATCATGCACATCTTACATTCAGGAAGTGTATGGTAAGATGTATTTTGGGGTTGACCAGATGTGACCGCATCTGGATAAGCCAGATTCGTTCGTGTTGCTTAGCGCCTCAGACGGCACTATTCCAACAAGGCGGCTGTCTGTGAGGCACTATTCCAACAACATGGCGGCTGTCTGTGAGTGAGTGAGTTTAGTTTTACGCCACACTCAGCAATATTCCAGCCATATGGCGGCGCGGCTGTCTGTACTTAGTGGAGTCTTGGCCAGAAAAACTATAGATGGAGAAACTTTCCACTATGATAATCACTCATTACCTGACCACTCGAATAATTAGTCACCTCTAACGACCAGCATGTGATGCTGGGTACATGTATTCTCACTTGAGGAATGGTATAACAATGCGTCGATTAGAATACGTTCATTTGGGAACAGAAGTGTAATATGAGTGAAACCGACACATTAATATTTCTTAAGTAAATAAGCATCGTGTCATAAGCATGCATTACCATTACATACATGTATTCCTCGGTGTGCTGACTTTACACAGCATCCATTAAGATGAAGAACATATTGTTGGCAGAAACGTTTTTGACGTTTGTCTTTGATATGTATATACCATGCAACAATGAAGCTTCCAGGGAAATATTACCATAAGCAAATGTGTCACTTTTATATGGCAGAATTTCCAATCCCATAAGCAGATTTCGGAGGCTTGAGAATTCCTAATGCTCCATTAACACGACAGTTTGTATGCGGAGCCAAGGTGACATCAAATTTAGGATTCACTTGTGTCTAATAAAATACGAAAGAGGCCACACAAGAGCTGAGGAGAAAGATTAAAACGAATGGAGATCGAATTAAAATATCTCCGCTGCAGATTTTCCAAAATGATGTAATGTATTATTATGGTCCTTTCGGCAAGACATGGATTATATTTATTAGTCTTAAGAGGCAAAATTATTACCAGGACAGGGTGTGAATTTCCAAAAGCATTAAGAATTTAATGAGTTCTTGTTACCAGCTTAGAAGTATTTTGCATTTTACCCGGCTTAACAACAAAGGGACGATTCACTTCAAATGCAGGAGGGTGAACTGGAGTCCACATTTAATGGTTTATATTGCGTTGACAATTCTTCTCTAAGAGAGGCGAAGTCGTTGTGTTGAAGCTCACGTTAAACCTCTGGTGAAACCGAAGCTTCTTCAAGAGGAAGCAGTGGAAATGTATCCAGCATGAGAACCTCATCGCATATAGAGCACGGATGCTCCAAATTTAGGAGGCATGGTTGGCGAATAAAAAGCTAACAGGCGCTATACAGGAACTGCAAACGTTGAGATTTATTGCAAAAAAGTAAGGCCGCTCTTTTCCGCTACGATGTCCGCAAAGCTGGGGCATGACAGATTTATTGCAAGAACGTCCAACGCAACACTTAGCTATTTTCTCACAGTGAACCCGAGCGGAAACATTACGCCAAGAGGCAACGTCTCTTAGTTCTAACGTGGTTGTCATTGCTGCATAGACCTTGTATATTGCACAGCGGTTGTCGACGTGTCACTAACGGAGCAGAAGCTGAATGGGCTATAGCGTTGTCGATAGCAGGCACCAGTGAGAGTTACATGATCCTGATGGACAAATTTCAATGGAGTTTAATTCGGGTAGTGACATATACATGAGTTAATGGCAAATAACGTGCATAAAAGCATCCGAGGGTAATTATTCTATTACCAGACCGTGTGTATTGGGGGAATGTTTGTGATGTGCCAGGAACTGCTTAGATGCTTGGCTTGTCCATTATTGGCTTGGATATACAGCGTGCAAGAGGAATAGTTGATGAAAGAACTGGTATATCCACATGGGGTTACATGAAACTAATTTAAATACTTCAAAGACTCACATTAATGGTTACACATTACTGGTAGCATCATTACAAACATGCTGTATTGAACCATAACACGACATGTTAAGTCCCAAATGACTAAACCTAGACGTATTTGTTCTACATGTCATAGAAATTATTAGGGAGTTCAAGTAATAAATGATACAAAAAACAGGATTACTACACAAAAGATGAGGATTGCATTTGAACGTGACAATACTGAGTTACACCCCTTAGTTGTGTCAGGTTCCGTGGTAACTGGTCCAGACTCGATCGCTTCATGGAAGCTGAAAACGTGTCCGACCTTTGTCATACTGTCTTTTCCTTGCAAACTAGGCAGATACGTTATTATACTACAATAATAATGTTTAAAGCAATGCACCTCCAACTCACATACACATTGTGTGATTTTCATGGCCATCCCTCGCACGTTGCATTAGTTAGTGAGTGAGTTGATTTTACGCCGCTTTGAATTGCATTAGTTGTATCATGGTTCGCCAGCTTGATGTGAACAGAAAGCCCGAAGCGATACTGGACTCGGACATTTACCAGTTTGGATTAATTGCTAAAACATTACTGGGATTCAAACCCACGATTCTAGGTTCCTGTGCACATGAATTGTGAAATGTTAGTTGTACCTTCTATGCCAACCCTATACTCATACATTACATTATCGACGAGTATTGGTTAAATGCAAACAACAAATGATAGCACTGCACCGGTCACAGCAGGTATATATGTACCATATATAATTTCTAATGACCCGGAGAGTCTATATAGCACCCATATCGAATCTCTTGAAACGTCTCAGACCACGAAGGCGCACAGATGACGGGTAAGGGAGTGTTGAGCAGATCCTTGTTTTCGCTTCACCTAACTTGTTCCACCGCAAAGTACCTTATATATCTAAGAAAGGGCAAAATGTCTACTTAACGACTGACAGCAAGTCTACATAACACAATGAAGTCATCAGCGAAAAGTAAGAACAAAGACTGACGAGCGTGTCGGTTGAGGTCTACAAATCATTGCTACTATTTTTGTTAACGTAGTGCCATCGCTTTTAAGTCCATCGACTAACAAAACCCAGGCTATTCATCACTTCCAGTAGACAGACTTAGTTACTGATTTATCAAAGCATCCTCCCGACGCATCGTGTCCTGTGGTACATCTGCCCAAACCCATCCATGTTTTCCCAACTCCCAAATAGGATTCCCCCTGACAGGGAAACTCAGGATTAAGTAGTGTATCGTACATTTCCCTCTCCCGGGACAGCTGCTTGATCAATGGTAATGTTTTGCCATGGTCTATAGGGGTTTACACTCGTTAGAAATGGAACAGGGAGACTTAGCACGTATATTGATTTCAACAAGGAAAACAGCACAGTTCTAGAGTAAATTTAGGCGAACTTCGATTTATACCACGTACTTGACACCTTTCATCATAATTTGACAATTTCCTGGGGTAAAACATGGACACGAACATATCGATGTATTTTTGGTTGGGTGAAGATAGTGATGATGTTCCTGAATAAAACCTGTATCGTTGTCATCGGGCATTGAATAAA